ATTCTACAATTTTTAACCGCTTAAAAAAAAAGAAAAGAATAGTGCGAAATACAAAACGATTCCGATGGAATTTTATTTTTCTCTCTCTTTTTTACCCATTTTCTAAAGGAAGAGAAAAAAATGAAACGGGAAGAATTGATGGAAAATGAAAATTTCGGTCAGACAGATATATTTATATTGTTAAGGAGGAAAACAAATTGAAAATGGATGAATGAATAAAGGAATTATTAATAAATAAAATTCCATCGGAATTTTTCATTTTTTCTTTTTCATTTTTTCAAAAAAAAATTTAATTTTGATATTTTACCAATGCAATTACTAAAATTTCTTATAGCAACTGTTTTAAAAAAATGTTAAAAAAAATAAATATGCATAAAATTTTTGCTAAAAAACTAATGCATCGTATTCCAATCGCAGTTATTTGTCAATGACAATTTGTCGCTCATTTACGTTTAGCGTATTTCGTGCTGTGTATTTAAATGCACATACATACGTGCAAATTTAGTCGTAATAATGAAAAAATTTTATTATAACATTGTCGGACTCAACAAATTAATAACTGCACCAGAAATGGATTTAAGTAATACTAAGAAAAATTGTTAATAAATTGTGTCGGAAATTGAAAGGTTTAAAATTGAAGAAAAATAAAAACGAAATTGAAAAAAAAAGAAAACATCTAAATTACAAAATATACGTTTAGCATGATTGCAAAACAAGCAATAAATAAATATCATCCTTGTTATTTTTAAATTTAAATTTTATCAAATAAATTAACAAAAATTATGAAAAAGGAATGAAAATTTTGGAAAAGTTTGCAAACTGAAAAAAGTCGGAAACTTTTCCGTAAATTGTGTCCTAAGAAGATAAGTTATGGAATAATATGAAAGTTTTGTAAGCATTATTTATTCGATACAATATATTGTCAAGGAATGTTTATTAACGATATTTTTTATCAATCAAATTTAAAAATTATAGATGTGAATATTACGCCATAAAATAAATATTCAGAACACGTAGAAAACAATGTTTCAGTAATACGTATGGATGTAAATTTTTTTCACTTAAATCTAACATAAAATGAAAAAATGAATTATTTACGACTGATTATAATTGAATTCAAAAATAAAAAAGTATATAAGAGATACTACAAAAGTTGTGCAAGAAATTTTTTCAAAAATAATTTCTATACATTCTTCAAAATTTCTACTGCTGAGAATCACCACAAATTATTCATTCAGAAAAGAAGGAAAAACTTTTTTTTTGAAAATTTACATTTTTAAATTTGTTGAAAGCAGAAAAGGCGGAAAAAAAGTTTTCGTTTCCAGCATTAAATTGCTTAAATAACAGGCAGCTGTTCAATAACATTTAAAAATCGTACATCGAACTATTTGCACGATAGAAAAAAGAAAAAGATTAAAATTTATGGATGGAAACATTAAATATAACATCGACTGAAATATTAGTTATAATAAATGCATAATTAAAGAACATATTTAAATTGAAATTCGTTTCTTTTTCTTTTTTTTAAATTCAGTCAGCAATGGATGAAAGGATGCATATTAAATAAGACTTTAAAAGTCTTAAATTTTTAATTGATTTTGTCGTCGTCTTTCTTGTGATTACATCATTTTATTTCAAATATCAATTCTAAATGAAATATGAAAAAGATTTGTAAATAGTAATTTCAATTTATCTTTTAGTATAGCAAAAGAGAAAAACAAACGAAATGTGAAAAGCAAGGAAAAATGCCAAAGCATATTTGTTCCATAAAAAACAAAAAAAAGAGCAAAACGAAACGAAAAGCTAATAAAATTCCCTTCTCTTTTGTAATTTTATAAATTTTGAGAGAAACTTATTTATTAATTTATTTATGATATAAATAAACAGTCATAATATGAATAAATGAATAAATTTAACTTTAAACTTGCACAAAAAAAGTGAAACAAATAAATTTTAACAATTTTCTTTTTATTTTTTATTAAATCTTTTTCTTTGTTACACTGAAAGATAAAAGTTTTGCCTTTTTCTTTCAATCATTCAATCAATCACTTTTTTTTTAAATGAACGATACAAATGGAAATTTTATCCATCACTATGGGAGATAAGAACAAGTTATCATTTCATTTAAAGTATATTCTTCAATAATTGATAAATAACATTTGAAACATTTTAAAATTTTAAAAACTAATGTATTTCACTAATGAATGATGAAAAATGTTATAAAGCTAAGAGTTCAATATCTTATTAATACGATCATTTTATCGTTCATCCCATCTATCTGCTACCTGAGTTCAGCTTGAATATTATCCCGAAGCTCTATTATCAATCACTGAAATTATGAAGTTTTAAAAACCGATGAAAGCTTCAGAACAGACGATAAATTAGAAAGCTACGAAACTGATATCTTATCGATAGGATCATTTGCTACTGCAGCGTGGATATTGCCCTGAAATCTTGCTATCAATTTTTGCATCATGATATAATCATTGATATTTTTACTGATAAGATTAAAACTAACAAATTTTAGAAAATTTTATTAGCATTCCGATAAAGCAGAAATTATATTCTGAAGTGGAAAAGGCATAAATATGTCATCCAATGTAATTTGTCACTTTTTTCGTCGCATAAAATGATGCACAATGATTAAAGCAATTGAGAGTGTAATATGTAACATGTAATACTTTTAATTATATTTTCATAAATTTTTGTTAATAAAAAATTTTTCGAAAATACAAATGGTTTCTCTTCAATCAATTACTAAATTTGAAAGTGATATTTTAAAATTTTTTGCTTTTGCATATCTTAATCCCTTGCAACTTCAGCAATCTTAATAACTTTCTAAAGTTTTAAAAAGTAATTAAGAGAGTTGTAATCAACAATGAATGTTAAAGCAGAATATGCTGTCATTTTGATAAATCAAATGAGTATATTTTTACTAAACTGCAATATTCCATAATCATTCCAAAATCTGAGAAAATTCATAAATTTTATATGGGCTTCGAAAAGAAAAGTAAAAGAAAAAGAAGGAAATGAGTCGTCTATTAAAATCCAACTAATTTGGAAGCTTGATGTAATCTGCCACAATTCATTCACCAGAAAAAAAAATTTTTTTAAATTTAAAATCAGAGAAAATTTTATGAACCAATTCAATTGAATAGATGGCCTTAAATAAATACATCAAACACCACCTTTTTTCTAATTTACCTCCTTATCTCTCTTCTTCTCTCCTTCTTTCTCCTTTTTCATTCCCTTTTAGAAGAATAGAAATATTAAAAGTTACTAAATATTTTTTTTCCATTATAACTAACAATTATGCATACAAGTCCAGTTAATTATTCACAACAAATAATTAAGAAAAATAATGAATGACAATTAATTGTAAAGGAATGCTTTTCTTCCTTTTAGAGATGAAGTGAGTTTACAATAAATAAATAAAGAAATAAAAATTTGTGAAAGTTGTAGCAATGTGATTGTTCAATTAATTAATAGTGTGTTAACATTTATCGATGTCAATTGCTGTAACTAAAATCAGTAAAATTAAATACTGTAATAATTGTATATCCAGTGATATTATCATTGATAAGATAAACTTTGTTTTACATGAGTAGATGGAAAGTTACAGTTTGAAAAAGTATGTACGTCGAATTTCAACCCATTTTAATTTAATTTCACTTAACAGCAAAGTTTGTAGATCGTTAATAAGATAAGTTTCATTCCACTTAATAATTAAGATTAGGTTTTAGAAAATAAATATATGACACCATTAGCACTTCCCACAGGTATCTTAATTCCATTCCTTGTAAGAGAATGAAATAAACAAATGTGAAATGACATAAATTAAATTAATTAAACAATTGACTAAAATTTTCCCGATCTGACCAACCGTCATGCGGAATTAACAATTCCTAATAAAATTATGAACTTAATCGAAATCCTAAATTAATAAAAGCAATTGGATTTTTAAATATAATAAAATCGAAATTCTACTTAGAATTGCAAAGTTTACGCAGTCTTTACTCTTCTCTATTTAATTTCTATGTTTTTAAGTGATCAAATATCACATGTACTTGCTTTTTTTTCGTAGCATAAACTAGACGCTATATTTACCAAAGAAATTAACAGTAAAAACATCTTACTCCACCGATAACAAGAAGTAAGCTAATTAAGACAAATTGATTAGACTTATTCAAAAGTTTTCAAAAAATCTGTTAGCTTCACAGATTGCTCTTGATCTATATCCGGACAAAACTATTCGTAAAATAATGAATGCTTCTCCATTAATGATATGATAAATGAAGACGAGGAGAAGCATATCAATCGAGATTAATACCAACGCTTCAATTTAATTACGAAGTTTCGCGTTGGAAAATTTGCTTTAACTGACGTTCATTCTTTATTTTGAGCATTTTCGTAACTATACATACAAATAGCAAATTAGATTAATCTGTAATCTGTAATGATAATAGTATTAGCAATAACATCTAAAGAAAGAAAATGCCTAAAAATACCAGAATAAAACTTATACGGTAAACAAAGTACCGCAACACAACAGGAAACGTTTTGAAAAGAAAAGGTGAGGCGAGAGATATAATAAAATGTAATGTAACAAATAATATTGAAAATCGAGTTATAATTGCAGTTCAGCTAAAAACAGACTGTTTTCTAGGAAAATTGTATGAAGATATATTATTGTCACTGTTTTTTGAATTTAATGTTTGAAAGTTAGCTTTTTACTTTTTCTTCTCTCAAAGGTCAAGTAATTCTAAATTGTAAGCTTAATAAGATGCTTAATAAGGCGTAAGGAGGAAAATCATTTCTTTCTATTGCAGTTACCAACTAACCATCTCATGACTGATTTCACTGTAACGAAATATAAAATGCACTTGAATTGTGTTTAAATTTGATTGGAATTATAATCTCCCTTTGAGAGAGAGAAAAGTCATTTATCAATCATCTACCATAGTGGTTGTCTTCGATAAAAACTTTGTTAAATATGATAATTATTCAACAGTATCATATATAAGTGAAAAAACTGTAATAACATTCCTAGCTTCCGCAATTTTCCACCATCTTCCAAATTTGTGTTCCTGACCCACGGCACATGCTACTTCTTCACCATCATCCGAAAATCTGAGCCGATTGATAAAGCCGCTCTAAAAAAAGAAAAGTTCAAATTTAAACAGAATTTTTAAGATAAATAAAAGACGTATGAGATTCGGTGACTGGAATTTATACAAACTGGCAACTGCAAGAGCGAAAATCAGAACTTAATATATATCTTTCCAATTCATGTTTTCATTATCGGTTATTGATGCCAGCTTTATCTTAGTTCTACAGTTTATTAGCTTTGCTGATTCTTATTCTAATTTATTCAAACTCATTAAAAAAATTTAAAATAGTGGTCCCGCTTTTTTTAAATCATTTTTTTAAGTGGACTTTTGACGGTTATGGAAGTTGAGCCTTACAAAAGTCTAAAAATATTACAAAAACTTACTCTCTCGTAAGATAAAATATTTGTTATCGATTTATAATCTTCCGCAACTTTCCATAAACGAACAAATCCATCACATGAACCTGATGCAATAAGATCTGTATATCGTCGTGCTGCAACGGATACAATCCAATTTGGCTGATTATCAATATCGCGACCATGCGCTTCTACTTGTGAACAAACTGGTTTTTTTTTAAATATTGACCAAACACATAAGCTTCTGAAAAAGCATGCATTTAATGAAAAATTTCTCTAATTAAAATTAAATTGATATCGTTCAATACTTTCAAAGAATCAAATAAAATAAAAAGAGAAATTTCACAAAATCATGTGAGCGCAATGCAAATATCTCAATTTGTATGTCAATTATAACCTTTGTTTTCTCCATATTATTGAACTTTTATTCATTTTAATTTTAGTTTCTTCCGCTATCAAACCGAACGAGAATAGCTTAACTAACCCATCAGCTGAACCGGACACAAAATGGTCTTCATTGATAAGTGCCACACAATCAATGCTAAAGCAACTTGAATAACCGTTAAATATCAAATGACTATCTTCAGGCACTTTCCACAATCTCACAGTACGATCTTGAGAGCCTGCAGTTATCAAACGTTCCCTGCAAACAAATCTTTTTATCGCAAATAAATTTACATTCTCAAATTTTAAAATATTTTTTCTCAATTTCCAGAAAAATTTGCAAGCCATTATACTGATAAACTGAAAGTGTAAACTGATTTCATTAAGTCCAGGATGTCCTAAAGTTTCAAAAAAATTCGTAGAGTTTTGAATTACAACAAACATTAAGTGACAATAAAAATTGAATTCATTTTCAGATAACTTGAAATTTCCGGAAAATTTACCTTGATAAAGCGTCAATATCTACTATTGCATCAACGTGACCAAACAGAGTATCTACGTATCCCAGTTGCTCCAAATCCCACAGTTTAACACATCTATCTTTGGAACAACTGTACAATTGTTGAGTATTCAATCGAAATACTAGTCCTGTAAAGTGATAAAAGGCCAGTTTAGTTTTGACCGTGCAATTTTTAGACAAAAAAACTACAAGCAATGAATCTAAGAATTATAAGTATATAAAAAGAAAATTAATTACTAAGGTAATCAGAAACTAACCGGTTATCGCATTCATATGTCCGGTAAGATTTTTAACATGCTGAAAATTACTGAAATTCCAAACCCGTATAATAGCATCGCTACCACCGCTTACAAGATATCGATCATTGGCCGAGATTGCAAGACAAAATATTTGGCCTCGATGAGATATGCAACTTCCTTTAATATATTTTATAGAAGCTGTTATCTTTCCTTCTTCTAAATCATCTGAAAAATAATGCAATTTTTCTTCAAAGAATAGATGATTCATTTTCTGGAAAAAATAGAAAAGCGAAGTAATGAGCATCCAAACATTTACAGAACATAGTTACAGTCGAACTCATTGCTATGGACACAAAAAATTTCTCTTCAATACTTTTTCTAAAGTTCATATTTCACAGCACCTTAAAATTTAAGACAATATTCAATATCTCCCCATTATTCTATATCAAATAACAATTTGTGATAATGATGATAAATTTTCAAGGGGCTCAAACTTTTTCTGCACTTATTGATGAAGGCTCAAAACAGTGAATCAAAAAATAAAAATCAGAATCCTAACACTTCGCTATTGTTGCATCCTTCGAGCAACTCACCACATATCTGCCGTCATGTGATATAACAACCGCAACAGTTGAGTACCTAAAACTTAATATTTGGAATTACATAGACAAACGACGATATTATTTAATTCAACACAAACTAATTTTTTTATTGTTTTTTCTCAATTTCTAGTATCTTCACTTAATGATCTAAAGAGGTAAAATGTAATAGAGATTTTAGCATCAAAAATAATTCTACAGAAAAGATAATCAAACAATTATACAATGTTTATCACTCATTATTTAGTAAGAAACTTTCTTGGTTTTCTCCATAAATAGTTGAGTATTAACCCCAAAGAAAAGGCCATCATCAATCTATTGCATTCCATCCAACCACTGTTTAGAATGAGATGGCCAAATAGTCAACGTTCTGACTTTAAACCTGCTCATATTTTCTTCCGAAAATAATTTCCAATAAATTTCATACAAAACGGATTTCAAATAATTCCTAGTAAATTTAATCAAAAATTCAACTGTGCGTAATCATATTACCAACCTATGGGCTTTATACTGTATCGCAGTACCACTTAATCGTACTTCCTCTGCAACTTTTCGATGTCGAGTTGCAACTTTCGATAAAGCATCATCTCGCAAACGATGGGTAACGGTCTCATTATCGTACGGTTCGCCTCTTTCATTCTGCTGTTCAGTCTAAAATCCATTTATTAAAAGTAAGTTTTATTTTAAAAAAACAAAAAACTTAAATTTCAAATTTATTGAAACTGAAATTATAAACCGAATTTTACGATGTGTTATCTTAACAGTTACCTTTGTCCGGAATACGATTCTAAATTTTTTCAAAGCAAAAAGTTTTGAATCAAACAAAAGATATAATGAATAAATTTAACATTCACATTCAAAAAAAAATTAACATTCACATTCACGCACTGTTTGATCCATGCTCTTATTTTCTATTTCAGTTCCGTCAATAAATATATTGCTACCTACTTATAATCGATATAAAAAAACAATCAAGGGAGAGGGATAAATTCCATTCCTATATTACGCAATGTAATCACACGTTTTCAGATTAAAATCCATGTAATTACGGAGAGTATGATACGTATAAATATGATATCGTATATCTAAAATACTTTAGAAAATACTTAAAATACCTGAATATCGTCCAAAAGCTGTTTTGCTTTCCGGTATGCCATCTCTTGCATGTCTTCATACTGCTCTTCATCACTTTGATTTTCAATAAATTTGCCACTATCATCGTACAACAAATCGTCTTCATCCGAAGAAATATCCTCATTTACCAATTTTGCCTTTCGTTTTGATAATTTCGCTCCAGTCAAGCTTTGTTTCAACTATACCAAAAACGTTACTTTATTAGTAAAATGATAAGGATGAACGTTATGGTTTGTTTGTTTTTTGTATGTCATTTTTTGTAAAAGGTTCATAAAAGTTTCGTGTTCAACATTAAGATGAAATTTATGCGTTGCAAACAAAATCAGCTTCTAACGTGAGTAACTTTAAATAGTTAGTTTCATACGTTTATAAGAGATTACGTGACTTCACTTTCAACATAGAATTATAGAATAAAACTAGCGCCAACTTCTGTGAAAGACAGATCAAATTTTTAACAAAATACCTTATTTCTCATCTTTGCATCATTTTTATGATTGGATTGATTCCTGATGAAAAATGACATTATACCTGAAAAAAGCATACACGTTATGGTTACGTGATCCGACAGTTGGAGAAAGACGACATACAAAAAGCACAAACTTCGAGAACAATAACGCGCATCCCCGAAATAACTTCCCATATTCCGACCGCCATCTCATTATGTCACAATTGGCAACGTTAGCATTGCTAAGTGCTATAGAACAGATTATGTTATGAATTTCGGGACGTTTACAGGATTTATTGCTTGAAAAACCTTGGGATTTTTTTCTCGGAAAGAAGGCTTCGTTTTTGAAAAGATTAATTTAATTAATGAAATTTAAACATTCATGGAATTGTTCATTCACGGAATTGACATGTGAAGTAAAAATATTTTCTGAAAACATTTACATTGACACATACATAAAAATTCATGTATGTCATAATTCGTTTGAGCTTATATAATTTTTATAAATCTTCCAAACGAAGTGACATCACTTTTCCGAAACTATCAAACGTACACTACGTAATATTTTGGTGGAATTTCTCCTGCTAATTGTGTGAAAATTGTATTATTTCAACATGTGTACATTTTTTTAACATAAAGAACGCACACTGAATAGGTGGAAAAATTATTTTTTTAAAATTGTAAAACACATGTAATGAATGTAATAGACTGGCCCATTTCGATTAAATAAATAAATAAAATGCAGAAATGTTGTTTACTTCAAGATAGTTACAAAACGAATTTTAATTAGGATTATCAAAACTTTTTGCCGTAATTCTATAACTCTACAATTAAATGAATTGGAGATTCGAAACTATCAAAATTAAATTATTATTCAAATGAAAATTTTCAATCTTTTGGACAAAATATTTGCGAAATACTATGATGCATATATACAATTCGTACATATACAATAGCAGTCAAGCCGATCAAAATGAACACCCATAAAATCGAAATTACAGCAACAGTTGCCCAGAACATATTTATTTTCCATTGTATTTCTCTCAGCGATCTGTGATAGGGCTGTGATGATGTTTTGAATCTGCCGCTGTTGTCGTACTCCGTGTGATATCTCTCAGTACAATCCGTTTGATTATTTATCATTTGATCGACATGATGTTGAAAATCTACAAATGATCAACTAAATAAAATTTATAATTTTTATATGAATGATTTAATTAAATTTTATATTACTGAAATGAAGTTTTCTTCTCCACGTCAACACCAATAATTGTCTCTTCAGAAATTTTACAAGTAAAATTTATAATATGCTATTTGTATCACTTTAACTTCAAACTGGTAAAAATCCCCAAAGAGAAAGAATGAAGAATTGCTGGGAGAATGGAATTGATATTCTCTCTCTCTCTCTCTCTCTCCTTATTCTCTCTCTCTTAATCTCTTCCCTCTATTCTCTCTCTCTCTCTCTCTCTTAATTCTCTCTCTTAATACTATTGGTAAAGCAGAAGTTATGGGACACCTGCTGTTCCTTGAGATATAATAGTTGCCATCGTTTGATTACTATCGATGAGTTCATTCTCTCCTACAACGTCCCTAATATTACTGTTATCACGAACTGATAATTCACCATACTTTACGGCAGCAAATAATATGAATAATTGAAATGCTAAAACAGCCATCTCTTTTTAATAATTTGATGAAAAATAACAAAATTGGTATTATTTTATTTCATTTACATATGCCATACTTTTAGATGCACTATAAAATATATGCATAGGAAAATGTTTGACATTTAAGTCCACAAGATGCATTAAATTAAATTAGATATAAACTTTAAAATTTTTGATTTAAAATTTTGAATTTTGTTACAATATGATACATGAGGTTTGGATTACAATTGCATCATTTTTTATTGTAAATACTTGAAGTGAATGATAGAGAAACAAACTCGCGATATCAAAGTTCAATAATTATTAACCCAACAATCTTCCAATCAAATATACTAATCAATCTTGATATAACGTTTGAGCTGCAATTTGCGGTCGAGATTTTTGAAACGATTACTTGACTACTTGCTAATTGCAGCGATATTTTGATGGGTTTCGTGTTTGCAGCTCGTAGGCCTTCTGAGGACGGTGGTCCGTGCGTCGGTTGTGCGTCGTTTGTGCGTGTCTTACGTGTATAATTTGTATAGAGTTGATGGTTTACGAGGAATTGCGCTATATACATACGTTCTGACTGTGCGAGAGGCAAATAAAGTTAACTATTTCATCAGATTTTTGATGCTGAATAACGATCGGAATTCAACACTTAGTATTCCATTTTATTTTGCTTTCCTTCATACTTACACAAAGTAAAATTGAGTTTATATGCATGCGTGTTTCGATTGAAAGAGTATCATATTTCTAAATTCCATGGATGTTAGATATATGGCATGCTCGGTATATCTCGAAATGCGAGACATATTTATCGCTGAATTAGTGCAGTTAAAAATTTATGATTAACATAATCGTCACGGATTTCCTGAAAATATATTGCATATTTTATATAAAGGTGATTTAGAACGATTGCTAAGGCTTGCATGTGACATTGCGGAAGCAATTTGACAAAGGTAGGACGAAATGCCGCGTGTCAAAAATGTTATGTCGAAGGTCTACAAAAGTCCACGACGTCCATTTGAAAAGGAACGTCTTGATCAGGTTTGTGCATTCATTTCGAGAAATTTTGTTGCATGTAATATTTGGAATTAGACTATGTAATGAAAAAAATAGTCTTTAGATGTGGAGGAATCTTGGCTATTACTGGTCCTTTGTTCTCTCTTAATTCATTCGATTTTTGGAGAATTTGACTTTCTAAACCAATTTTGTACAATCGTTTAATATATTATAGGAACTAAAACTAATTGGAGAATTTGGTTTACGTAATAAACGCGAAGTGTGGCGTGTGAAATACACATTAGCGAAAATTAGAAAAGCGGCTCGAACACTGCTTACGCTTGAGGAGAAGGTTGTTGAAGAAATAGATATTATAAATTTGATATCTGAGTTGATTGTAAAGTTTTCTTTGTCGGCAACACACTATTCATTTAAAGGGAAAAATGTGTTGTTTCGCTAAATGCAAATAAGATGACTGGGTTATTCTTATTTTAGTAGTAGTAAAAGTGAAGAGGGTATCAAAAGGTTGTGAAAAATAACTGATGTCATTTGCATGAATTTTTTTTTGTGTCTAAGTTCCAAAAAATTTGGTTTTTCAGGATCCAAGACGTCTGTTTGAAGGTAATGCACTGTTGCGACGTCTAGTTCGAATTGGAGTATTAAGCGAAGATCGTATGAAGCTTGATTATGTTTTGGGTTTACGAGTTGAGGATTTCTTAGAGCGTCGTTTGCAAACTCAAGTTTTCAAACTTGGTTTAGCTAAATCCATTCATCATGCTCGCGTCTTGATCAGGCAAAAACATATACGGTATACATTCAGGCCTTTTCTCTACCCATACTTTTCCATTAAATCCAGTCATTTATAGAAATTAGCGATAACCACGTAATTTTTGGATTAATTTAGCTTTTTTACAATACAAATATGATTATTGCTAGCAGTAGTTGTTTTGCTACTAAACTTTGAATAATGAAATTTCGTAGATTTTTCATATTATTAAGATGGTGTGTATATCCATTTGAGTCTCTCTCCTGAGAAGGATTAGGGGGTAGTGAGTATGGAAGTTAAAAGAATCAAGTGAGATTATCTTATAGTTTTGATAGATCATCGAAATGCTAACATTTTAGTGTTCGACGTCAAATTGTGAATGTCCCATCCTTCATTGTTCGCTTGGATTCACAGAAGCACATTGATTTTTCATTAAAGTCACCTTTTGGTGGTGGCCGTGCGGGGCGCGTGAAAAGACGTAATGCAAAGAAAGGCGTCAGTGGTGATGGTGAAGTTAGTGATGGAGATGAATAGAAGACTTCATAAAAATTATTTTGTTTGTTACTGTTTTATCGTTATCATTAAGCGCAGTCTTAAAATAAATGTTTACTGGTTATTAGTTGATCACAGTACAGAAATTTTCGGATTGGATAGCGGTAGGTGGGATATGCATATGAAGTTTGGAGTGAATATTTCTAATAATAGAAATGTTATGAATAATAAGGGTGAAAACAGTGTAGTGGACGTTATTCGATTTATCCTAGTTTATGGGATTAGATTATGCTTAGTTTATTTCTTGTTACGTTGGTCGAAAATTGACTATTTTTACATTAATTGGAGATTTAGTCAGTCGGTATTGCATAGTCAGCCTTGTTGCCACTTTCCGGAGAAAATTAAGGGGTCAGATATTTCTAACATGTTTAAAGAATTGGCGACGAAAATTGCATAAGTCAAGGCTTCCTTGACGCCGAAGTTCAAAATCAGCGATTGAAAATAGTGACATGATGGATACGGAAGATTTTCCGAGGCGTATACTCTGTTCGCATTCGTTTTCAGCCCACGTCTGTGAAGAAATACTTTTAAGTCCTTGCAATTTAAGCTGTTCTAGTCCGGTAATCTCGGAAACTCTTTTTGATGGTTTTTTGACAGCCAAAGTGACAGTAGCAATTGATTTTTTCCCCGTTGTCGAGAAGTAAGAAGATTGAACTTTAAATTATGGCTTTATATATTTACTATAAATTGCTATTTTTAAAATTATTTACCTGCGAAATGAATGAAACAATTTGCCCGCTCTCTGATGCTAAATCTGTTAACTGGTCAATATAATGAATATCTTTCAACATATAGGAGTGATCGATCCATTTCCAGGATTTTAAATTTAGAATTCCCAGTCTAAAATATCCAATGTATGAAAGTTTCTGCGGGAAATTATGGAAAATTTTACAACCGCATTAATACAGCTATTAAATTGACTGATAATTAAAAATGATATATACCTACCTGGCATATGGTCGTAATACTAAACGATCTCTGAGATAGCTAAGAAATGTTGTGAAATGTAGAACAATCTTTCCAAACGTTTCCACCTGCAAATCCATGCTTAGAAAAAATAATCGTACGAAACGCATTTGCATCCATTGAAGGACGGAACAAATTTGCCAACGCCAATGATTTGATGGTGTTCGATAACGTGCAACCAAGCCGATCTAAACAATTTCATCTTACAATAATAATCACTTAAAGAATTACAAATTTAAATTTGTCTCATTCTTATACCTGTTGATTGCCATTCTGACAAATGAAACAATCGACGAGAATTGGTGTTTGTTGATACTCATCTCGCGGAAAACCACTAATTTCATCAGCTGCCGCATCTTGTGAATACCACTTATAACTGCTACAAATAGCGAATAAAAGTTGAATTGATTCATATCTTTTGCTACTTTTCCTCTTCCGCTTCCCCTTAACACCTTTTCTTTGATGGAATACCGAAATTTGTAATTTCCTCTTCGATTAGATCCGAAGAGAAAAAAAAAATTTCTTTCTCTTTTATTAAAAGGAATAAATTTGGCAAATATGTTTAAATGAATTTCAAAATAAAGTCACTTCCTTACGGGTCACTTTTATTAGCCAACTAATTATATTTGTAAACGTAATTGATTAGATCAATTTCCTAAATTAATTATTCTTGCAATAAAAAATATACATTAATATTGAAGTTCACGATTTTTACCGCAAATGTATTTGAAAATGAAAAAAAAAAGACCGTTCATTGATTAAAAGAGAAAATTGGCAAATTTTTATGAATTGCAAACTTATCACATTATATTGTAACAAATAGTCCCTTAATTAATTAGAATTAATAAATACGAATAAAATTTTGTGAATATGGAATACATACCATAAATTCAAGCAGCTAACATTTAATGGTTCGATATTTAACGTCAAGCTATCAACAGTTAAAAAGCATAGGTCACGATCATTACGTGAAAAAAATGGTGCTATATAATGGCAAATATTCAATGATAATGCTGCTTGAAGTTCAGAATTCATCTAAAAATTGGGGAGAAAAAGAAATGTGCTATTATATGAAAAACAATGGAAAGTTATAATTTATAACAAAACAAAAAAAAAATTCCTTAAAATAATGCTAAAATTGAAAAAATTTTTTTCCTTTTCGTTGCAAAATACAACAAATTTTGTTGTCATAAAAATATGTCAGTGCTTAATTAAATCATTAATGAACCTGCAATCAAACATACCCGGAACGTTAATAAAAGAAGAAATTTCACTTACATTATTGACATACATGGAAATATCAATTGATGTGCTGAATTCATCCGATTGAATTGGATCTTTTGGAATAATTAATGCAACAAATTGCCCTTCTGCAAATGACATTATTTTTATAAAAATTTGCAATAAATTCAATTAATTTTTAAATTGAATGGGTTCTTTTCTTTTTTTTTAACATGGAGTAATATTTAAGCAAGATATATTATTTTATCTTTTAATGTAGGACATGATTTATTATTTAATTTGTATAAATTATTAACGATTTTTATTCTTAACTTGATTCCTATTTCTTATTTCATTTAATTTATTTTCATCTTACATTTTATGTTTTTCTTTTTTTGTTTGTAATGAAAATTTAAGAATAATTTGTACCAAATCGTTGTCTACTGACAATTGCACATAATCTATCACCAATTGCTGCTTTAATGAACGATGTTTGAGAAGTACCATAATAATAGCATCGATGAAATGGTGAAATTGCCATATTCGGGGCGATCTAACCTATGCTAATTTTATTATATTTTATTATCATTATTTTCTTCTTCTTTATGTTTCATACTAAAAAAAATTTTGCATTAAAGTTATTCGGGCAATAATAATTTAATAATGATAATAATAATAATTCAATTAGAAAAGCTAGTTTAAATACAAAGAGATAACAACACTGCTTGCTTATTTTGTTGAAAATATGAAAAAAAAGAAAACTAAGAATAAACATTTGTTACAGCGCTAATAATATATATATATGTCATCTCACTTTAACAATTCGTTGTCGCAGCGTTGTTTGACGATGATTGTAATCCAGTATAATGAGAGTATTGTTGTTGAGCGCATAAACGTGTATGAGATAATCACCAAAGTCAAATAAATCGTTCAAAGTTATCGTTCGACGCCCTTCCAAAGTTAAATCAAACACGTCCACTTTGAATGATGTGGTCCATTCCATTGGACCATGTTCC